GGGCATGCAGCACCACTGCACCAGGAAGTACACCACGGGCTGGGGGGGACATTTTATGGGGGTCCTGAACCCCAAAATCCAGATCCTGAACCCCAAAATCCACCAGGAACCCTGATCTGGGGGGTCTGCAACCCTCAAATCCACCAGAAACCTCATTTTTGGGGGTCTAACGCACTCAAAGCCCTCAGAAACCTCATTTTTTGGGGTCCCACCACCCCCAAATCCAACAGGAACCCCCATTTGGGGGTCCCACCATCCCCAAATCCAACAGGAACCTCCTTTTTGGGGGTCTAAGGCACTCAAATCCCTCAGAAACCTCGTTTTTTGGGGGTTCCAGCACTCCCAAATCCCTCAGGAACCCCAATTTGGGGGTCTCACCACCCCCAAATCCACCAGGAACCTCCTTTTGGGGGTCCCACCCTCCTCAAATCCACCAGGAACCCCAATTTGGGGGTCCCACCACCCCCAAATCCACCAGGAACCCCAATTTGGGGGTCCCACCACCCCCAAATCCACCAGGAACCCCAATTTGGGGGTTCCACCATCCCCAAATCCCTCAGGAACCTCCTTTTGGGGTCCCCAAATACCCCCCAAAACCTCATTTTTTGGGGATTCCACCAACCCCAACTCCCCCCCAAAAAACCCCCCAAATTTTGGGGGTGTCCCCTCCCCTAAACCCCTTAAATTTTGGGGGTGTCCCCTCCCCAAAACCCTCCAAATTTTGGGGGTGTCCCCTCCCCCCAAAAAAGCCCCAAACTTTGGGGGTGTCCCCTCCCCAACCCCCAAATTTTGGGGTCCCACCCCAAAAACCCCCAAATTTTGGGGTGTCCCTCCCAAACCCCCAAATTTTGGGGTGTCCCTCCCTCCAACCCTCAATTTTTGGGGTGTCCCTCCCAAACTTTGGGGTCCCACCCCCAAAACCCCCAAATTTTGGGGTGTCCCTCCCCAACCCCCAAATTTTGGGGTCCCACCCCCAAAAACCCCAAATTTTGGGGGTGTCCCTCCACCAAACCCCCAAATTTTGGGGTCCCACCCCCAAAAACCCCAAATTTTGGGGTGTCCCTCCTCAACCTCCAAATTTTGGGGTGTCCCTCCCACACCTCCCAAATTTTGGGGGCATCCCTCCCCAAACCCCCTAAATTTTGGGGTCCCACTCCCAAAAACCCCAAATTTTGGGGTGTCCCCTCCCAAACCTCCCCAAATTTTGGGGTGTCCCTCCCCAAAAGCCCCAAACTTTGGGGGTGTCCCCTCCCCCCAAACCCCCCAAATTTTGGGGGTGTCCCTCACCCAAAACCCCCCAATTTTGGGGGTGTCCCCTCCCCACCTCCCCGTTGTCCTTGTCCACGGAGTGGGACTCGTCCAGGATCCGATCGACCTCCACGTAGTCGGGGTTGAACGGCTCCTCATCCTTTTTTTTTTGGGGGGGAAAAAGGGATTTTTTGGCCTCAAAACAACCCAAAAACCTCATTTTCCCACTCAAACCCCCCATTTTTCTACCCAAACCCCCAACTTTTCCACCCAAAACCCCCATTTTCCTCCCAAAATCCCCGTTTTTTGCCCCAAAACCCCATTTTCCACCCAAAGCCCCCATTTTTCTACCCAAACACCCCAACTTTTCCACGCAAAACCTCCATTTTTTCACACAAAACCCCCATTTTTCTACCTAAAACCTCAACTTTTCCCCCCAAATCCCCCTTTTTATTTCCAAAACTCCATTTTCCCCCAAATGCCATTTTTCCCAAAACACCCTTTATTTCCTAAACCCCTATTTTTCCCCAAATCCCATATTTTCCCTCATTTTTCCCCAAACCCCCTTTTATTTCCCAAACCCACATTTTTTCCCCAAATCCCATTTTTCCACTTTTCCCCCAAATCCCATTTTCCCCTTTTTCCTAAACCCCATTTTTCCCCAAATCCCCCTTTCCCCCATTTTTTCCTCCAAACCTGTTTTTTTTCCCAAACCTCCATTTTTCCCTTTTTTTCCCCAAACTCCCATTTTTCCCCCAACCCATTTTTCCCTAAGCCCACATTTTTCCCCATTTTTCCCACTTTTTTTCCAAACCCTTTTATTTCCCAAACCCCCATTTTATCCCCACAAACCCCATTTTCCCCCAAATCCCCATTTTCTCCCCACTTTTCCCAAACCCCATGGTTTTCTCCCAAACCCCATTTTTCCCCTTTTTTTCCCAACCCCCATTTTTCCCCTTTTTCCCCCAAATCCCTGTTTTTTTTCCCAAACCCCCCATTTTTCCCCCCTTTCTTTGCCCAAACCCCCCGTTTTTGCCCCCAAACCTCGTGGAAGAAGTGCCTCATCTGGCTCATCTTGGTCTTGAAGCGCTTGAGCTTCTGGTGGATCCTCTTGTCCCTCTCCAGCTGGTCGATGGTGGCCCACTCGCAGTGCAGGTACGAGCTTTAGTTTTATATTTTGGGGTGAAAAAAGAGGGTTTTGGTTCATTAGGGGGGTTCTGGGGCCATCCCCCTGGATTTTTGGGGTGTTTTTGGGGTGTTTTGGGGGGTTTTTAGGGGTGGGGGGCACCTACTAGTTCTTGTACTTGACGAAGAACTCCTCGCAGTCCACGAGCTGGCCCGATGGTAACTGTGAGGATCACGAGGAGGAGGAGGAGGAGGAAGGTCAGGAGGGGGTCCTGGAGCCCCCTCCCCCAATTAATTAAGTTAAATTAAGTTAAATTAAGTAAATGAAGGGCTCACCTCCTTCTTGACCACCCGCATGGACAGCACCTTGTCCACGATGGCTGCGTCCTCCTCGCTCGGGTTCTCCTGGAACACAGGAGGAGGAGGAGGAGGAGGAGGTGAGGAAGGACAAGAGGAGGAGGAGGAGGAGGAGGAGGAGGTGAGGAAGGACAGGAGGAACAGGAGAAGGAAGACAAGCAAGAGGTGAGGAAAGACAGAAGGAGGAGGAGGAGGAGGAGGAGGTGAGGAAGGACAGGAGGAGGAGGAGGGGGTGAGGAAGGACAGGAGGAGCAGGAAGAGGAGGAGGAGGAGGAAGGAGGAGGAGGAGGAGGAGGAGGAGGAGGAGATGAGGAAGGACAGGAGGAGAAGGAGGAGGAAGAGGTTAGGAAGGACAGGACAAACAGGAGGAGGAAGACAAGCAGGAGGTGAGGAAGGACAGGAGGAGGAGGAGAAGGAGGAGATGAGGAAGGACAGGACGAGAACGAGGAGGAGAAGGAGAGTGAGGAAGGACAGGAAGAGGAGGAGGAAGAAGAGGAGGTGAGGAAGGACAAGAAGAGGTGAAGAAGGACAAAAGGAACAGGAGGAGGAGGACGAAGTGAGGAAGGACAGTAAAAGGTGAGGAAGGACAGGAGAAGGAGGAAGAGGAGGTGAGAAAGTGAGGAAGGATAGGAGGGGGTGAGAAAGGACAAGAAGAGGAAGAGGAGGAAGAGATGAGGAAGGACAGGAGGAAGAGGAGGAAGAAGTGAGAAAGGACAGCAGAAGCAGGAGAAGGTGAGGAAGGACAGCAGGAGGAGAAGGAGGAGGACAAGGTGTGGAAGGACAGGAGGAGGAAAAGGACAGCAAGAAGTGAGGAAGGACAAGAGCAGGAGGAGGAGAAGGGAAGAAGAACAGCAAAAGGAGAAGGAAGAAGGGAGAAAGGACAGGAGAAGCAAGAGGAGATGAGGAAGGACAAGAGAAGGAGGAGGAGGAGGACGAGGAGAAGGGGAGGAAGGACAGCAAGAACAGGACAAGGAGAAGAAGGAGGAGATGAGGAGCAGATGAGGAAGGACAGCAGGAATAAGACGAGCAGAAGGAACCCCCCAAACCCCAAGAACCCCCCCCAAACCCCAAACCCCAGACTCCAAAGAAACCCCAAAGAACCCTTAAACCCCCAAGACCCCTGGCCCCAGCACCACCACGAAGAATCCCCAAACCCAAATAAACCCCCAGACTCAAAGAACCCCAAACCCCAGAGAACCCTCAAGACCAAGGAACCCCAAGAAGCCCCAAACCCAAAGAACCCCAAGAATCCCAGACCCCCAAGAACCCCCTGTCCCAGCACCACCACGAAGAACCCCCAAACCCAATAACCCCCAAACCCCAAAGAACCCCAAACCCAAAGAACCCCAAGAACCCCCAAACCCTAAAAGCCCTCCTGTCCCCAGCACCCACCACGAAGAACCCCCAAACCCAAAGAACCCCCAAACCCCAAAGAACCCCCAAACCCCAAAGAACCCCCAAAGAACCCCCCAAACCCCCCAAAAAACCCCCCTTGTCCCCAGTACCCACCACAAAGAACCCCCCAAACCCCCAAAAAAAGCCCCCCCTTGTCCCCAGCACCCACCACGAAGAACTGCATGGAGGGCAGGGCCTCCCCCTCGGGCTCGGGCGGCGCCGGCTGCGCCTGCTGGGACTGCAGGGACTGGTGGGACTGGTGGGGCTGCTGGGGGGGCTGCTGGGACTGCTGGGACGGCTGGGGCTGGTCCGGCCGAGCCGGGCCCGTCACGTCCAGCTCCTCGTCCTCCTCGTCGTCCGTGATCTTGATGTCCAGGTCCTCGGTGTACTTCTTGCGCTTCACCTGCCGGTTCGAGCGCCGCTTCTGGGGGGGAAAAAGGGACATTTGGGGACATTTGGGGACATTTGGGGACATTTGGGGATGTGAAAAACCCATGGGGACATGTGGGGGGACATGGGAGGGGACAGGATCCCGATGTCCAGCTCCTCCGGGTGCTTCTTTGCGCTTCACCTGCCGGTTCGAGCGACGCTTCTGGGGGGAAAAAGGGACATTTGGGACATTTAGGGACATTTGGGGACATGAAAAACCCAAGGGGGACATGTGGGGGGACATGGGAGGGGGACAGGATCCCGATGTCCAGGTCCTCGGTGTACTTCTTGCGCTTCACCTGCCGGTTCGAGCGCCGCTTCTGGGGGGGAAAAGGGGACAAAAAGGACACGAGGGGACATTTAGGGACATGAAAAACCCATGGGGGACATTTGGGGGGACATGTGGGGACACAGAGGGGACATGGGAGGGGACAGGATCCCGATGTCCAGCTCCTCCGGGTGCTTCTTGCGCTTCACCTGCCGGTTCGAGCGCCGCTTCTGGGGGGGACAGGGGACATTTGGGATATTTGGGGACATTTGGGGATGTGAAAAACCCATGGGGGACATGTGGGGGGACATGGGAGGGGACAGGATCCCGATGTCCAGGTCCTCGGTGTACTTCTTGCGCTTCACCTGCCGGTTCGAGCGCCGCTTCTGGGGGGAGAATGGGACATTTGGGGACATTTGGGGACATTTGGGACCTGTGGGGACCTTCAGAGGGGGACACAGAACACAGGGGAACATGAGGGGACACGTGGGGACACATGGGGGACATGTGGGAGGACATGAGGGGGGACAGGATCCCGATGTCCAGCTCCTCCAGGTGCTTCTTGCGCTTCACCTGCCGGTTCGAGCGCCGCTTCTGGGGGGGACAGGGGACACTTGGGGACATTTGGGGACATTTGGGACCTGTGGGGACCTTCAGAGGGGACACAGGACACAGGGAGACATGAAGGGACACAGGGGGGACACAGGGGGGACATGAGGGGGAACAGGATCCCGATGTCCAGCTCCTCCGGGTGCTTCTTGCGCTTCACCTGCCGGTTCGAGCGCCGCTTCTGGGGGGGGACAGGGGACAAGGGGGGACATTTGGGGACATGTGGGACCTCCAGAAGGGGACACAGGACACAGGGGGACATGAGGGGACACGTAGGCACATGAAAAACCTATGGGGGACACAAGGGGGACACAGGGGGGACACGGTGGGGGGACAGGATCCCGATGTCCAGCTCCTCCGGGTGCTTCTTGCGCTTCACCTGCCGGTTCGAGCGCCGCTTCTGGGGGGCACAGGGGACATTTGGGGACATCTAGGGACACGTGGGGACACAGGGGGACACGTGGGGACCTCGACTGGGGGGCACAGGACACGGAGACACCACGGGGCTCGCACCTGGACGCTGCACTCGTCGTCGTCGCGCGGGGACGGCGCCGGGAGGGCCTCGGAGTCGGAGTTGTCGGAGGACGCGTTGCGCTTGCGCTTCTTGCCCACCACCGGCGTGATGGTGCTGGGGGGAGGGGCAACCAAAGTCACCATGGGGGGGTCAACGCCACGGTTGGGTGGCCAAGACCACGGTTGGGTGGCCAAGAACCCAACTGGGTGGCCAAGACCACAGTTGGGTGGCCAACACCGTGGTTGGGAGACTAATGCCTTGGTTGGGTGGCCAACACCACAGTTGGGTGGCCAACACCATGGCCAGGTTGCCAAGACCACAGTTGGGTGGCCAAGACCGTGGTTGGGTGGTCAAGACCATGGTTGGGTGGCCAAGACCACAGTTGGGTGGTCAAGAGCACAGTTGAGTGGCCAAGACCCCGGATGAGTGGCCAAGAGCATGGCTCGGTGGCCAAGACCACAGTTGGGTGGCCAACACCACAGTTGGATGGCCAACACCACTGTTGGGTGGCCAAGACCATGGTTGGGTGGTCAACACCTTGGTTGGGTGACCAATGCCTTGGTTGGGTGGTCAAGACTGTGGCCAGGTGGCCAAGACCACAGTTGGGTGGCCAAGACCACGGTTGGGTGGCCAAGACCACAGCTAGGTGGTCAAGACCACAGTTGGGTGGTCAAGACCGTGGCTGGGTGGCCAAGACCACAGTTGGGAGGCCAAGACCACAGTTGGGTGGCCAAGACCACAATTGGGTGGCCAACACCATGCTTGAGTAGCCAAGACCACAGCTAGGTGGTCAAGACCACAGCTGGGTGGTCAAGACCATGGTTGGGTGGTCAAGACCACAGCTGGGTGGCCAAGACCACGGCTGCGTGGTCAACACCGTGGTTGGGTGGTCAAGACCATGGTTGAGTGGCCAAGACCACAATTGGGTGGTCAAGACCCTGGTTGGGTGACCAAGACCACGGTTGGGTGGTCATGACCAAGGTTGGACAACCAAGACCATGGTTGGGTGGCCAACACCACAGTTGGGTGGCCAAGACCATGCTTGGGTGGCCAACACCACAGTTGGGTGGCCAACACCGTGGTTGGGTGCCCAAGACCACGGTTGGGTGGCCAACACCTTGGTTGGGTGACCAATGCCTTGGTTGAGTGATCAAGACCACGGTTGAGTGGTCAACACCATGCTTGAGTGGCCAAGGCCACGGTTGAGTGGTCAAGACTATGGTTGGGCAACCAACACCACAGTTGGACAACCAACACCACAGTTGGGCAACCAACACCACAGTTGGGCAACCAACGCCACAGTTGGACGACCAACACCAGGATTGGGCAACCAACACCACAATTGGGCAACCAACACCACGGTTGGGCAACCAACACCACAGTTGGACAACCAACACCACAGTTGGGCAACCAACACCACAGTTGGGCGACCAACACCACGGTTAGGCGACCAACACCACAATTGGGCGACCACCACCATGGTTGGGTGACCAAGCCCACGGTTGACCCCCCAGACCCTCAAAGTCCTCCCCCACGCCCCCTCCACCCACCTGGCCTTGCCGCGGGCCTTGCTCTTGCTGCCGCCCTGCCCTTTGCCGCGCCGGGGCCGCTCGTCCTTGGCGCCGCCCCCTCTCTCGCCGGGGCCCTTTCGGCGGCGCCGGCGCTCGCCGTCGTCGTCGGGGCGCACGCTGGGCAGCTCGTCCTCGTTGAGCACGCGCGGGATGTTCTGCTCGCCGCGGGCGCGGGCGCGGGCGATGGCCTCGGCCACGATGCGGTTCGCCTTCTCCTGCTTCTTCTGGTGCTCCAGCTTGCGGCTCTCGTCAGCCGAGCCCCGGGACGCGGCGCCGGCCCCCGATGAGGGCGACAACGACGACGACGACGCCACCGCCGCCACCTCGGCGCCGCTCAGCACCTTCACCACCGAGAGCCCCGCCGAGCCGCCCTGCGATGAGCCCGCCTGGGGGGCGGCACGGGGAGGGGGGTCAGGGGGCCACCAGGGATGTGGATGGGCCACCAGGTGGCCATCGGCACCGCGGTCCCCTTGGGTGAGCACGCAGATTGATGATGGGTGGCCGAGGTCAAGGGTGGTCAACTATGAAGGTCAAGGTCAAGTGACCACCAAGACCAACACCACTGGTCAGTCAAGAAGGTCAACATTGGCAGACCACAAAGACCGAGCTCAAGTGACCACCAAGACCAACACCGGTCGGTCAAGAAGGTAAAGGTTGGTCAACCACGAAGACCAAGGTCAAGTGACCACCAACACCAGCCCAGAAGGTCAAAGTTGGCCAACCACAAAGACCAAGGTCAAGTGACCACCAAGACCAACACCGGTCAGTCAAGAAGGTCAAGGTTGGTCAAACACAAAAACCAAGGTCAAGTGACCACCAAGACCGACCCAGAAGGTCAAGGTTGGCCAAACACAAAGACCAAGGCCAAGTGACCACCAAGACCAGCCTGAGAAGGTCAAAGTTGGCCAACCCTGAAGACCGAGCTCAAGTGACCCCCCAGACCGATGTTGACAACCCCTAAGAACGACATTGAGTGACCAAGAACACCAAAATTGGCCAAGCACGAAGACCAAAGTCAAGTGACCACCAAAATGACATTGACCAACTCCAAGACCAACATTGGGTGGCCATAAAGACCAAAACTGACCAACCATGACCACCAAGGTCAAGTGACCACCCACACTGACATTGGGTGGCCATAAAGACTAAACTTGGCCAATCATGAACACCAAACTCAAGTGACCACCAAGACCAACGCTGACCAACCCCTCAAACCAACCCTGAGTGACCAAGGTTGGCCAAACCCAAACACCAAGCCCAGGTGACCCCCAAGACCCACGGGGGGTGACCATAAAGACCAAAACTTGACCAATCACGAAAATCAAAGCCAAGTGACCACCAAGACCTACGCTGACCGACCCCCAAGACCAACGTTGACAAACCAACATTGACCAACCCCCAAGACCAACGTTGACCAACCCCCAAGACCAACGTTGACCAACCCCAAGACCAACACTGACCAAGTCCCAAGACCAACATGGACCAACCCCCAAGACCAACGTTGACCAAGTCCCAAGACCAACATTGACCAATCCCCAAGACCAATGTTGACCAACCCCCAAAACCAACGTTGACCAACCCCCAAGACCAACATTGACCAACCAACATTGACCAACCCCCAAGACCAACATTGACCCATCCCCAAGACCAACACCGACCAACCCCAAAACCAACATTGACCAACCCCCAAGACCAACACTGACCAACCCCCAAGACCAACACTGACCAATCCCCCAACCAACCCTGTGTGACCAAGCTTGGCCAACCCCAACCACCAACCCCAAGTGACCCCCAAGCCCCACGTGGACCACCCCAAACCAACTCTGAGTGGTTGAAAGTCAAAGTTGGCCAACCACCAACCCCCGGTGACCCCCAAGACCCACATGGACCACCCCAAACCAACTCTGGGTGGTTGAAGGTCAAACTTGGCCAACCCCAACCACCAACCCCAGATGACCCCCATGCCCCACGTGGACCACCCCAAACCAACTCTGGTGGTTGAAGGTCAAAGTTGGCCAACCCCAACCACCAACCCAGAGACCCCAAGCCCCACGTGGACCACCCCAAACCAACTCTGAGGGGTTGAAAGTCAAAGTTGGCCAACCCCAACCACCAACCCCAGGTGACCCCCAAACCCCACGTGGCCCACCCCAAACCAACTCTGGGTGGTTGAAGGTCAAAGTTGGCCAACCCCAACCACCAACCCCAAGTGACCCCCAAGCCCCACGTGGACCACCCCAAACCAACTCTGGGTGGTTGAAGGTCAAAGTTGGCCAACCCCAACCCCCAACCCCAGGAGACCCCCAAGCCCCGTGTGGACCACCCCAAACCAACTCTGGGTGGTTGAAGGTCAAAGTTGGCCAACCCCAACCCCAGGAGACCCCCATGCCCCACGTGGACCACCCCAAACCAACTCTGGGTGGTTGAAGGTCAAAGTTGGCCAACCCCAACCCCCAACCCCAAGTGACCCCCAAGCCCCACGTGGACCACCCCAAACCAACTCTGGGTGGTTGAAGGTCAAAGTTGGCCAACCCCAACCACCAACCCCAGATGACCCCCATGCCCCACGTGGACCACCCCAAACCAACTCTGGGTGGTTGAAGGTTAAAGTTGGCCAACCCCAACCACCAACCCCCATGCCCCACGTGGACCACCCCAAACCAACTCTGGGTGGTTGAAGGTCAAAGTTGGCCAACCCCAACCACCAACCCCAGATGACCCCCATGCCCCACATGGACCACCCCAAACCAACTCTGGGTGGTTGAAGGTCAAAGTTGGCCAACCCCAACCACCAACCCCAGATGACCCCCATGCCCCACATGGACCACCCCAAACCAACTCTGGGTGGTTGAAGGTCAAAGTTGGCCAACCCCAACCACCAAACCCAAGTGACCCCCAAACCCCACGTGGACCACCCCAAACCAACTCTGGGTGGTTGAAGGTCAAAGTTGGCCAACCCCAACCACCAACCCCAGGAGACCCCCAAACCCCACGTGGACCACCCCAAACCAACTCTGAGTGGTTGAAGGTCAAAGTTGGCCAACCCCCAACCCCAAGTGACCCCCATGCCCCACGTGGACCACCCCAAACCAACTCTGGGTGGCTGAAAGTCAAAGTTGGCCAACCCCAACCACCAACCCCAGGAGACCCCCAAGCCCCACGTGGACCACCCCAAACCAACTCTGGGTGGTTGAAGGTCAAAGCTGACCAACCCCAACCACCAACCCCAGGAGACCCCCAAGCCCCACGTGGACCACCCCAAACCAACTCTGGGTGGTTGAAGGTCAAAGTTGGCCAACCCCAACCACCAAACCCAAGTGACCCCCAAACCCCACGTGGACCACCCCAAACCAACTCTGGGTGGTTGAAGGTCAAAGTTGGCCAACCCCAACCACCAACCCCAGGAGACCCCCAAACCCCACGTGGACCACCCCAAACCAACTCTGAGTGGTTGAAGGTCAAAGTTGGCCAACCCCCAACCCCAAGTGACCCCCATGCCCCACGTGGACCACCCCAAACCAACTCTGGGTGGCTGAAAGTCAAAGTTGGCCAACCCCAACCACCCAACCCCAGGAGACCCCAAGCCCCACGTGGACCACCCCAAACCAACTCTGGGTGGTTGAAGGTCAAAGCTGACCAACCCCAACCACCAACCCCAGGAGACCCCCAAGCCCCACGTGGACCACCCCAAACCAACTCTGGGTGGTTGAAGGTCAAAGTTGGCCAACCCCAACCACCAACCCCAGGAGACCCCCATGCCCCACGTGGACCACCCCAAACCAACTCTGGGTGGTTGAAGGTCAAACTTGGCCAACCCCAACCACCAACCCCCATGCCCCACGTGGACCACTCCCCACCTCACCTGCGGCTGCAGCACCACCTTGAGCGGCACGGTGAGGCGGTGCCCGGCGGCGCCCACCACCTGCGGCACCTGCGCCACGCCCACGGGCGCCGCCCCGGCCGGCTGCACCAGCTGGATCTTCTGCGGCGCCCCCGGCGTCGCCGCCGCCGCGCCGGGCGCCGGCTGCACCTGCAGCTGGATGGTCACCACCTTGGCGGGGCCGGGGGCGGCCTTGGCGGGGCCTGGGGAGCCGGCGGGACCCCCCTGGACCACCAGCTTGCCGGGCAGGGTGCCCAGCACCACGTGGCGCTGCCCGGGGCCCGCCCCGGCGCCGCCCGGCTGCTGCAGCACCAGCGTGATGCGCTTCGACTCGCCCTGTGGGGAGAGTAAGGTGGGCAGGGTCACAACCGGCACCAAAAACAGCCCAGAGACCCCAAACACAGCCCACAGACCCCAAACACAGCCCAGACACCCCAAATCACACCAGCGTGATGCGCTTCGACTCGCCCTGCGGGGAGAGTGGGATGGGCAGGGTCACAACAGAGACCCCAAACACAGCCCAGAGACCCCAAACACAGCTCAGAGACCCCAAACAGCCCAGAGACCCCAAATCACACCCCCAGACACCCCAAATCACACCAGCGTGATGCGCTTCGACTCGCCCTGTGGGGAGAGTGGGATGGGCAGGGTCACAAACACAGCAGAGACCCCAAACACAGCCCAGAAACCCTAAACACAACCCACAGACCCTAAACAGAACCCAGAGACCCCAAATCACACCCCCAGACACCCCAAATCACACCAGCGTGATGCGCTTCGACTCGCCCTGCGGGGAGAGTGGGATGGGCAGGGTCACAACAGAGACCCCAAACACAGCCCAGAGACCCCAAACACAGCCCAGAGACCCTAAACAGAACCCACAGACCCCAAATACACCCCAGACACCCCAAATCACACCCCCAGACACCCCAAATCACACCAGCGTGATGCGCTTCGACTCGCCCTGCGGGGACAGTAAGGTGGGCAGAGTCACAACAGAGACCCCAAACACAGCCCAGAGACTCCAAACAGAACCCACAGACCCTAAACAGAACCCACAGACCCCAAATCACACCCCCCAAATCACACCAGTGTGATGCGCTTTGACTCGCCCTGCGGGGACAGCAGGATGGGCAGGGTCACAATGGAGACCCCAAACACAGCCCAGAAACTCCAAACGCAACCCACAGACCCCAAACACAACCCACAGACCCCAAACACAGCCCAGAGACCCCAAATCACACCCCACAGACCCCAAATCACATCCCACAGACCCCAAACAGTCCAGGAACCCAAACACAAACCAGAGAACGCAACATCCCACAGACCCCAAACACTCCACGGACATCAAACACATCCACAGATGCCAAATCACACCCCCAGACACCCCAAACACAGCAGGGACACCAAACACAACCCACAGACCCCAAATCCACACCCCCACAGCGGGACACCAAACACAACCCACAGACCCCAAACACAACCCACAGACCCCAAACCACACCCCCAGAGACCCCAAGCACAACAGGAACACCAAACACAACCCACAGACCCCAAATCACACCCCAGAGACCCCAAATCACAACCCAGAGACACCAAACACAGCAGTGACACCAAACACAACCCACAGACCCCAAATCATACCCCCAGACACCCCAAACACAGCAGGGGCACCAAAAACACCTGGGACACCACAATCACACCCCCAGACCCCCTTTAACCCCCCCAAATCTCTTTAACCCCCCAAATCCCCCTTTAACACCCCCAGACCCCCTCAAACCCCCCTAAATCCCCTTTAACCCCCCAAATCTCTTTTAACCCCCAAATCCCCTTTAACACCCCAGACCCCTTAAACCCCCCAAATCCCCCTTTAACCCCCAAATCCCCCCAATCCCCTTTAACCCTCCCTGGCGCGTAAGTGACTCCGGTTTGAGGGGTCCCGTGGCCTCCCTTAAGCCCCCAAACCCCCAAGTCCCCCAAATCCCCTTTAACCCCCTCCAATCCCCTGGGCGGTGTGAGGTGACTCAGGTTTGAGGGGCCCCAGAGCCACCTGCCTTTAACCCCCAAATCCCCCAAATCCCCTTTAACCCCCTCCCCTCACCTGGGCGGGCGTGAGGGTGACTCCAGGTTTGAGGGGGTCCCGGTGGCCACCCCTGCCCCTTTAACCCCCCAGACCCCCCAAATCCCCTATAACCCCCCAAATCCCCCAAATCTCTCCTTTAACCCCCAAACCCCTTTAACCCCCAAATCCCCTTTAACCCCCCTCCCCTCACCTGGGCGGGCGTGAGGGTGACTCCAGGTTTGAGGGGGGTCCGGTGGCCGCCCCTGCCCTTTAACACCCCCAAACCCCCAAATCCCCTTTAACCCCCAGACCCCCTTAACACTCCAGACCCCTTTAACCCCTCAAATCCCCCAAATCCCCTTTAACCCCTCCTCACCTGGGCGGGCGTGAGGGTGACTCCAGGTTTGAGGGGGTCCCGGTGGCCACCCCTGCCCCTTTAACACCCCAGACCCCAAATCCCCCAAATCCCCTTTAACCCCTCAAATCCCCTTTAAGCTCCCCAAACCCCCAAATCCCCCTTTAACCCCCCTTTTAAAACCCCTCCTCACCTGGGCGGGCGTGAGGGTGACTCCAGGTTTGAGGGGGGTCCCGGTGGCCGCCCGGCGCCCCCCGGCGCGGTTTTGAGGGGCTGCAGCAGGAGCTGCTTGACGGGCCGGCCCGGCGGGACCCCCAGCCTGGGTGGGGCCGCAGCGGGACCCCCGCCCAGCACGGCGGCCCCCGCCCCGCTCAGCACCTTGGCCAGGGTGACTTTGCCCCCGTTCTGGGGGGCGGCGCCGGCTCCGGCCCCCCCGGCGGGGGGAGGGGCTTTGAGGATGACGATTTTGGGGGCGCGCGGGGGGCCGAGACCCCATGAAGGGGTTGCCCTGGCTCAGCAGCTCCGGGGTGGGGGAGGGGCGGGCGGGGCCGGCGGGGGCTCCTGGGGGCTCCTGGGGGCTCTGGGGAGGGGGTCCAGGGCCCCGAGAGCCCCAAGGCCTCGGCCAGGGGGTCGCTGGGGGAGGGGCGGGGGAAGGGTCAGAGGAGGCAGGGGAGGGTGGGGGAGGGGCCACCAGGTCGTCGGGGAGGGGTCGAGCCCGAACAGGTTGGGGTCGTCGAACAGGTCCATGATGGGGTCGGCCATGGCTTGGAAGGGGGGACACCCCAAAAAGGGGGTTGGGGGCTGTGAGGGCTCCTCTCAGGAAAGCTGGGGGATCCTGGGAAAAGAGGGAGGGGTCTCAAGAGGGATTTAGGGGTCCCTGACCCTCTGAAAGGAGGGGCTGGGGGCTTTGAGGGGATTTTATGAGTCTGGGGGTGTCCTGATCCCTCAAAATGGAGAGTTCGGGGGTCTTGGGGAGTTTGAGGGTTTGGGGAGTCCTGAGGGGAAGTTGGGGGTCCCTGACCCTTGGAAATGGGGGAGGGGGTGTGGGGAGTCTTCAGGTGGTTTGAGGGGTCCTGGAGGAGTTTTGGGGTCCCTACCCTGAGATTTGGGGGAGAGGGGGTCCCTGGGGAATTCTGGGGGTTTGGGGGTCCCTGGGTGGGGTTGGGGGAGGTTGGGGGTTTTAGGGGTGCCTGGGGAAAGGAGGGGGGTTTGGGGGTCCCTGGGAGAGTTTTGGGGGTCTCTCTCAGGCAGGGGGCGGCTCTGGAGCTCCAGCTGTGGGGGAGAAAAGGGGAGGGGGAGTCAGGGCGACCCCAAAACCCCCAAAATGAACCCAAAGAAACCACCCCAACACCCTCCAAATTAACCCCTAACATGCCCAAAATAATCCCCCAAAACTCCCCAAATTAACCCCAAAACCCCCAAAATGACCCCCTCCAAAACCCTCCCCCCTCAGATTTTGGGGTCCCTCCCCCCTCAGATTTCAGGGTCTCCCCCCTCAGATTTTGGGGTCTCTCCCCCCTCAGATTTCAGGGTCCCTCTCCCCTCAGATTTCAGGGTCCCTCTTCCCTCAGATTTTTTGGGGTTTCCCCCCCTCAGATTTCAGGGTCTTTCTCCCCAGATTTCAGGGTCTCTCCCCCCTCAGATTTCAGGGCCTTTCTCCTCACATTTCAGGCTCTCTCTCCCCTCAGATTTCAGAGTCTCCCCCCTCAGATTTCAGGGTTTCCCCCCTCACATTTCAGGGTCTCTTCCCCCTCAGATTTTGGGGTCTCCCCCTCAGATTTTTTGGGTCTCCCCCCCCTCATATTTCAGGGCCTTTCCCCCCAGATTTCAGGGGTCTCCCCCCGCCAAATTTCAAAGTCTCCCCCCTCAGATTTCAGGGCCTCTCTCTCCTCACATTTCGGGCTCTCCCCCCTCAGATTTCAAGCTCTCTCCCCTCAAATTTCGGGCTCTCTCCCCCTTCATATTTCAGGGCCATTCTCCTCACATTTCGGCCTCTCTCCCCCCTCAGATTTCAGGGTCTCCCCCCTCACATTTCATCCTCTTTCCCCCTCCCCAAAACCCAGGAGGGCCGGGGATGGCTTCCCCATAAACCCGGCGCGTTTTTTCCCCCATCGCGGCCGAAATTTACCTGAGGCAAAGCGGGGGTGTATTTTGAGGGGGGGGTCTCTCTCTGTGTGTGCCCCTCCTGAGGGAGGGGGCGGGTTTGGGGGGCGGGGCCCGCCCCTCACGCCGCCGCCGCCGCCGCCGCCGCTTCTGCGGCTCAACCCAACCCTGAGGGAGAGGCCCCCCCCTCCTCCTCCACCTCACAGCGGGGCCACGCCCACCCCGCCCCCTTCCTCGCCCTGCCATTGGCCGAGCCCGCGCGGCGCCGCGCGCCCATTGGCGGGTTGGGAGCCCACGTGGGGTATGATGAGGGTGGGGGTGTTGAGGGTGAGGCGTCCGCGGCGCTGCCGGAAACGCGCGAGCGCGCGGGGCAGGCGCGCGGCGGGGCAGCCCCGGCCGCCATCTTGTCTCGCTGAGGGGGGGGGGAGCAGCGAGGGGTCCTTCGCCCTCACGGGGCGGGGGGCGGGAAATCTTTAAAAACGGTTAAAAATGGTTAAAAATTGCTTGTTTTCACCCCAAAAATGAGCAGCGTTTATAGCGCGAATTATTAGTATTGCGAGTCAATAAGGGTTTTTTTTTCTTTGCGCTGAGTCAGCGCCGCCGAAATCGGGGGGGGGGGGTAAAACAACAAAAAATGAGGGGAAAAGCGGCAAAAATGAGGAGAAATTGGGGGTTCGTCACAAAAACGGGGGGAAACGGCACAAAAAGGCCTCGGGGTGGGGGCGAAGGGGGGAAAACGGGTCAAAATGGGCCTAAAATGGGTCAAAGTGGGTTTAAAATGGGTGGAAATGGGGCTGGAGGGGAGAAAAGTGGGGAGAAAAGGCCCGAAATTGGATTGAAATGGGGAAAAAACGGATAAAAACGGCCCCAAAGGGGCTCGAAATGGGTAAAAACGGCAAGAAAATGGTTAAAAGCGGCACTGAAGGGGGTCAGAAACGGCAGCAAAAGGATAAAAACGGCCCCAAAATGGGTGAAAAGGCCACGAAATGGATTCAAAACTGGCCTAAAAGGGGTAAAAATAACACTAAGTGGCCCCAAAATGGGAGGGAAATGGACAAAAATGGCACTAAAAAGGCTCAAAATGCACCCAAGATGGGTAAAAATGGCACTAAAGTAAATTAAAAACGGCCAAAAATGGGTAAAAACGGAAGCCAAGTGGATAAAAATTGTCCCAAAACGGCCTTAGATTGATGTTTTTATTGATAATAAAGGCAAAAAGATACAAATCTTAATGTTTTTTACTGAAATTTGGTTCAAAATTCTGATTAAATCCCCTCAAAAAATTAAATTTGCTCAATCCTCCCCACAAATAACAACAAAACCCTTTCAAAAAGGCATTAAAAATTTACACAAATTGACCAAAATAGGTTAAAATTCACACTAAAACTTCTTAATTTCGGAGGGAAATGGCCCTAAAATCCCCCCCAAAATAGAGCAAAAATGGCACAAACGCCCCAAAATCCTGAAAAATTGGGGTAATTTACCCAAAATACCTGAAAGTGGCAGCAAATTTGGCTCAAATTCACCTTTTTCACCCACAAAAAAACCCCATAATCGACCGTTTTGGAGGAAATTTGGGTTAAAATTGAGATCAAACCCCTAAAAAATACAAAAGTTCTTATTTTTGGCAGAAAAAAGGAAAAAAAAAACCCTCTAGAAAAAGCTTAAATTTCTATTTTTGAACAAACTTGCTTTGAAATTGGGGCCAAACCCAACTGGGTCCAAAATGTGGAGTTTTTGGGGCTGAAACCTGAAATTTCGGGGTCAAAGTTGGGAATTTGGGGGCAGGAAATGAAAATTTTGGGTTAAATTTTGGGGTTAAAAAGGGGAAATTCGGGGCAAAAAGGGGAACTTTTGAAGGCCAAAAGCAGAGATTTGGGGTTAAAAGGGGGATTTTGGGGTTAAAAAGTGGAATTTTGGGGTTAAAAAGTGGAATTTTTCAGATCCAAAAAGTGACCGGTTTTTGGAGCGAAAAAGGGAATTTTTGGGGTGAAAAAGCAGAATTTTTGGGGCGTCCGAGAAGCTGAAATTTGAGGAGGAAAAAGTGGAAATTTGGGGAGAAAAGCGGAATTTTGAGGGGTAAAAATTTAAAATTGGGGAGAAAAGTGGAATTTTGGGCTCAAGTTTGGAATTTGGAATTTGGGGAGAAAAGTGAAATTTTGGGGTCAATTTATGAATTTGGAGACAAAATTGGAATTTTGGAGGAAATTTCAGAATTTGAAATGTAGGGAGAAAAGGGGAATTTTAGAGTAAATTTTGGAGTAAATTTTAGAATTTGAAATGTAGGGAGAAAAGGGGAATTTTGGAGGAAATTTTGGAATTTGAGGGGGAAAATTGGAATTTTTGGGGTCAATTTTAAAATTTGGAAATTTTGGGGAGAAAATGGAATTTTGAGGTCAATTCTGGAATTTGAAATTCGGGGAGAAAAGCGGAATTTTTGGGGGTCCCAGCCCTGAAATTTGAGGGGGGGGAAGGGGGGGGAGGAAGCCCCAAAATGGAGGTCACGCCCTCGGCCGCCATCTTGGGCGCTCGCGGCCACGCCCACCTCACCTCCGATTGGCTGCTCCCGCGATGACGTCACCAGGCAGGGCTGAGCCGTCGGCCAATGGGGAGCTGCCGGTCCCGAGGGGGGGAGGGGCCATGTTAATGAGGGGGAGGGGCTTTGCTAATTTGGGGCTGGGGAGCCCCCAAATATCCCCAAATTCCCCAAAAACCCCAACCAGAGACTCCCAAACCTCCCAAAGAACCCAAAAACCCCAACCAGAGACCCCAAACCCCCAAAGAACCCAAAAACCCCAACCAGAGACCCCCGAAACCCCCAAAGACCCCCCAAATAACCCAAAAAACCCAACCAGAGACCCCCAAATCCTCCCCAGACCCCCAATGCCCTAAACCCCCTAGACCCCCAAAATCCCCTCAGAGACCCCTAAACCACCCCTAGACCCCCAAATCCCCATACCCCTGAATTCCTCCTTTTCCCCAAATCCTCCCACATCCCGCCCTAAATCCCTCAAAACCCCTAAATCCCCCATTATTCCCCCTAAATCCCCCATGTCCCCCTAAATCCCCCAAATCCCCCTCTAGACCCCTAATTACTCCCTATCCCCCAAATCCCCCAAACCCCCAAATCCCCCTAAAACCCCCTAAATCCTCTCATATCACCCCATATTCCCCAAATCCCCCAAGACCCCCTCAATTCCCCCTCTAGACGCCCTAATTCCTCCCATCTCCCCCAAATCCCCCAAGACCCCCTTAAATCTCCCTCAAATCCCCTCTATACCTCTAATTCCTCCCATATGCCCCCTAAATCTCCCTCAAATCCCTCAAAACCCCTAAATCTCCCCAAACCCCCCAAGACCCCCTAAATCCCCTCATATCGCCTATATCCCCCCATATCGCTCCATATCCCCCTAAATTCCCCCATATCCCCCTTAAATCCCCCATATCCCCCCAAGACCCCCCTAAATTCCCCTTTATGCCCCCCTAAATCCTCCCATATCCTCCTAAATCCCCCCATATCCCCCCAGACCCCCTAAATCCCCCAAATCCCCCATATCCCCCTCCCAAGACCCCCTAAATTCCCCTCATATCGATCCATATCCCCTCAAACCCCCATATCCCCCATATCCCCCTAAATCCCCCATATCCCCCTAAATCCCTCCAAAACCCTAATCCCCCAAACCCCCCAAGACCTCCCTAAATTCCCCATATCTCCCTAAATCCCCAAATCCCCCAAAATCCCCTCAAAATTCCCCATATCCCCCAAGACCCCCTAAATCCCCTCATATCGCTCCATATCCCCCAAATCCCCCCAAGACCCCTAAATTCCCCATATCCCCCTAAATCCTCCCAAATCCCCCATATCCCCAAGACCCCCTAAATTCCCCATATCCCCTAAATCCCTCATATCACTCCCTATCCCCATATCCCCCAAGACCCCCTAAATCCCCTCATATCACTCCCAAATCCCCATATCCCCCAAAACCCCCTAAATCCCCTAGATCCCCTAAATCCCCCAATCCCCTCCCGCTGCCCCCCCAACCCCTATGGCCTCCTACAGGACCCCCTACCCCAGAGTGCCCCAAATCCCCCAGACCCCCAAAACCCCCAAATCCCCCAAAATCCCCCAAAGCCGCCCCCTCCCTCCAATAGGCCTCATATAGGCCCTCCACCCCCTGGCCCCCAAATCCCCGGGGCCGCCCCCAAACCCGCCCCTCCCCCCATTTTCCCCTCCCCTCCCCCTCCCCCTCGCCCCCCTCCCCTCCCCTCTCCCCTCCCCTCCCCCGCCGTCGCCGCCGATGACGCACCGCCCGCGCCGCCGCGCGCCCGCCGCTTCCGCCCGGCCAGGCCACGCCCCTCCTCCCTCCCCGCTTCCGGCGGCGCTCCCTCCGCTCCGCCCCCCTTCTCTCTATGGTGCCTCCCCTTTCCGCCCCCAGCGCTTCCGGGCGGCGCTCTGTCCTCCAACCGCCCGGCGGTCCTCCAACTCACCGTGCCCTGCCCCCCGCGCCGTTAAACCCCTGTAAAGGGGGTAAAAATCGCCTTTAAATTACACACACACACCCCCCTAACAACGAGAGGGGATCGGAGTTACCGCGGAGACATCCCCTGCCTTCCCCCGCACCGGCGTCCGTCTCGGTGGTGGCCCCGGCGGAAGGGGCGCCGTGAGGGGAGAAGGAAGGGCGGGACTTGAGGATCGGCGGACGGAGAGGAGGGGGGAGAGGAGAGGCAGGGAGAGAGAGAGAGAGAGAGCGGCGAGATGGAGGTGAGGGGGAGAGTGTGAGGGGAAAACGGGGGAGAAAGGGGAGATGAGGGGGTGGGAGGTGTGAGGGGAAAGCGGGAGGTGAGGGGGTGGGAGAGTGTGAGGGGAAAGAGGGGAAAAGAGGGGAATAAGGGGGCTGGGAGGAGTGTGAGGGGAAAGTGGAAATAAGGGGCTGGGAGGAGAGGGGAAAAGAGGAAAAAGAGGGAAATAAGGGGTGTGGGGAGTGTGAGGGGGAAAGGGGGAAAAGAGGGAAATAAGGGGGTGTGAGGGAGGGAAAAGTGGGAAAAGAGGGAATAAGAGGTGGGAGTGTGAGGAAAAGTGGAAATAAGGGGGCTGGGGAGTGTGAGGGAAAAGAGGAAAAAGAGGAAATAAGGAGGCTGGGAGTGTGAGGGAAAAGAGGAAAAAGAGATAAGGGACTAAAGAGGAGAGGTTGTGAAGGGAGTGTGAGGGAAAAGAGGGGAAAGGGAAATAAAGAGGTCTGGGATAAGTGTGAGGAGAAAAGAGCAAAGAGGAAAATAAGGAGGCCTATGTGAGGGAAAAGAGGGCAAAAAAGAGGAAAATAAGGAGGCCTGGGGGAGTGTGAGGGGAAAAAGAGAGAAATAAGGAGATCTAGGGGAAAAGAGGGCAAAAAAAAAGGTTATGAAGGGAGTGTGAGGGAAAAACAGGGGGGAAAAGGGGAAATAAAGAGGTCTGGGATAAGCGTGAGGAGAAAAGACAGAGAAAAAGGGGTCTGGAATGAGTGTGAGGAGAAAAGAGGGAAAAAAGAGGGAAAGTGGGAGGAGGAAGGGGAAAAAGAGGAAATAAGGATGAGGGAAAAAGGAAAAAAGAAGGTTATGAAGGGAGTGTGAGGGAAAAACAGGGGGGAAAAGGGGAAATAAAGAGGTTTGGGATAAGCGTGAGGAGAAAAGACAGAGAAAAGGGGGTCTGGGATGAGTGTGAGGGGAAAAGAGGCAAAAAAGAGGGAAATAAGGGGGGGTGTGGGAGAGTGTGAGGGGAAAAGAGGGGAAAAAGAGGGAAATAAGGAGATCTAGGGAAAAAGAGGGAAAAAAGAAGGTTATGAAAGGAATGTGAGGGAAAAAAGAGGGGAGAAGAGAGATAGAAGGGGTTCTAAGGTGAGTGTGAGGGGAAAAGAGAAAAAAATGGGAAAAAAAGGAGAAAAAAAGGGGTCTGAGGAGAAAAGAGAGGGGAAAGGGGGTCTGAGTTGAGTGTGAGGGGAAAAAAAGGGGGAAAATGAAGGGAAGGGGGTCGAGGGGGGAAAGTGTGAGGGGAAAATGGGGGAAAAAGGGGGTGCAGAAGGATTTTGGGAGGAAATGTGAGGGGAAAATGAGAGAGAAAGGCGGGAAAATGAGAGAGAAAGGCAAGAAAATGAAGGAAAAAAGTGGGAAAAGGGAGTCTTGGAGGGGTTTTGGAGCGAAGGGGGGACGAGTGTGAGGGAAAAAAGTGGGAAAAATGAAGGAAAGGGGGTCGAGGGGGAAAAATGTGAGGGGAAAAGGGGGCGCAGAGGGATTTGGGGGGGAAATGTGAGGGGAAAATGGGGGGAAAAGGCAGGAAAATGAAGGAAAAAGGTGGGAAAAGGGAGTCTTGGAGGGGTTTTGGAGTGAAGGGAGGGCTGAGCGTGAGGGGAAAAATGAAGGAAAGGGGGTCAAGGAGGGGAAATGTGAGGGGAAAACGGGGTGAAATGGGGGAAAATGGGGGGAAATGGGGGAAAATGGGTGAGGGGGGTCCCAAACTGCCCCAAATTTATCCATTTTTTTTCCCCCAGTTCCCAGGAGGCAGCGACAACTACCTGGCCATCACCGGGGCCGCTCACCCCTTCCTCAGCGGGGCCGAGGTGAGGAGCTGGACCCCAAATTTGGGGGGCAAAAACGGGGTTTGGGGGGCGGAACGGGGCTCAAAGTGGCTTGGAATGACCCTAAAATAGTCCTAAAGTGACTTAAATGGTCCAAAAATGGCTTTAAGTGATCCCAAAGTGGCTTAAAGTGGTTCAAAAACGGTCCTGAAGTGACTCAAGTGGTCCAAAAATGGCTTTAAGTGATCCCAAAGCAGCTTAAAATGACCCTAAAATAGTCCTAAAGTGACTCAAATGGTCCTAAAATGGCTTTAAGTGATCCCAAAGTAGCTTAAAATGACCCTAAAATGCTCTTGAAGCGACCCCAAATGATCCTAAAACGACTCAAAATGGGCCCAAAAATGCAGTTTGAAATGTTTTGTGTCTGTTTTTTGGTGTGAAAAGGGGTGATTTTGGCCAGAAAGGCTGATTTTTGGGGGGAAAAAGGCTGATTTGGGGCAAAAAATGTCTGATTTGGGGGCAAAAAGGGACAGTTTGGGGCAAAAAAGGCTGAATTTGGAGCAAAAAGACTCGTTTTGGGGTGAAAAGGGCTGATTGTAAGGTGAAAATGGTTGATTTTGAGGTATGAAAGGCCAATTATGGGTGTAAATGGTCTTTTAGGGGCTGAAAAGGCTGGTTTTGGGGTGAAAAAGGCTAATTTTGGGGGTAAAAAGGCTGGTTTTGGGGTGAAAAAGGCTGATTTTGGGGTGAAACGGGCCGATTTGGGGGCAAAAAAAGCATTTTTTAGGGTGAAAAAGGCTGATTTGGGGGGTAAAAAGGCTGGTTTTGGGGTGATAAAGGCTAATTTTGGGGGTAAAAAGGCTGGTTTTGGGGTGAAAAAGGCTGATTTGGGGGGCAAAAAGGCTGATTTTGGGGGTAAAAAGGCTGGTTTTGGGGTGATAAAGGCTGGTTTTGGGGTGAAAAAGGCTGATTTGGGGTGAAAAGGGCTGGTTTTGGGGTGATAAAGGCTGATTTTCGGGGGTAAAAAGGCTGGGTTTGGGGTGAAAAGTGCTGATTTTGGGGTGAAAAAGGCTGATTTTGGGGTGATAAAGGCTGATTTTGAGGGTAAAAAGGCTGGTTTTGGGGTGAAAAAGGCTGGTTTTGGGGTGATAAAGGCTGTTTTTGGGGTGAAAAGGGCCGATTTTGGGGGGTAAAAACAATGGTTTTGGGGTGATAAATGCTGATTTTGGGGTGAGAAAGGCTAATTTTGGGGGAAAAAAAGCATATTTGGGGTGAAAAAGGCTGATTTGGGGTTAAAAGTCTGGATTTGGGGTGATAAAGGCTGGTTTGGGGTGAAAAAGGCTAATTTTGGTGGAAAAAAAGCATATTTGGGGTGTTAAAGACAGTTTTTGGCCGATTTTCAGGCAAAAAAAGCACATTTGGGGTGAAAAATGATGAATTTAACGGGAAAAAGATGTAACTTGGTGCATTTCCACCCCCAAGACGTTCCACACCCCCAGCCTGGGGGACGAGGAGTTCGAGATCCCGCCCATCCCGCTGGAGTCCGACCCCTCCCTGGCCGTGGTCGGGCACTTCGAGGACCTGGCCGAGCCGGGGGGGCCCCCAGAGCCCCCCTTTGCACCCCCCTACGGCGTGGGGGGGCTGGAGCTGCCCGTGGGGCTCCCCCCGGGCATCATCGAGCAGTCAGGGGGGCTGCTCAACATGGTGAGTGCCAAAATTGGGGGAAAACACCCAAAAATGGGAGAAAAACACCCCAAAAATGGGGGGAAACACCCCAAAAAGGGGGGAAAAACACCCCAAAAAATGGGGGGGAAAAACACCCCAAAAATGGGGGGAGGGGCTGGAGCTGCCCGTGGGGCTCCCCCCGGGCATCATCGAGCAGTCAGGGGGGCTGCTCAACATGGTGAGTGCCAAAATTGGGGGAAAACACCCCAAAAATGGGGGGAGAAACACCCCAAAAATGGGGAAACACCTCAAAAATGGGGAAACACCCCAAAATGGGGGCTGCTCAACATGGTGAGTGCCAAAATTGGGGAAAACACCCCAAAAATGGGGAAAACACCCCAAAAATGGAAACACCCCAAAAATGGGGGAAACACCCCAAAAATGGGGGGAAAACACCCCAAAAATGGGGAAAACACCCCAAAAATGGGGCTGGAGCTGCCCGTGAGCTCCCGGACATCATCGAGCAGTCAGGGGCTGCTCAACATGAGTGCAATGGGGAAAACACCCCAAAATGAGGGAAACACCCAAAAATGGGGGAAAACACCCCAAAAATGGGGGACACCCAAAAATGGGGGAAACACCCAAAATGGGGGGCTGGAGCTGCCCGTGGGGCTCCCCGGGCATCATCGAGCAGTCAGGGGCTGCTTAACATGGTGAGTGCCAAAATTGGGGAAAACAACCCAAAAATGAGGGAAAAACACCCAAAAATGGGGAAAACACCCCAAAAATGGGAAAAACACCCCAAAAATGGGGGAAACACCCAAAAATGGGGGAAAACACCCAAAAATGGGGGGAAAAACACCCCAAAAATGGGGGGGGCTGCTCAACATGGTGAGTGCCAAAATGGGGGAAAACAACCCAAAAATGGGGGAAAAACACCCTAAAAATGGGGGAGGACATCCCAAAAATGGGGAAAACACCCCAAAACTGGGGGGGGCTGGAGCTGCCCGTGGGGCTCCCCCCGGGCATCATCGAGCAGTCTGGGGGGCTGCTCAACATGGTGAGTGCCAAAATTGGGGGAAAAACAACCCAAAAATGAGGGAAAAACACCCAAAAAATGGGGGAAAAACACCCCAAAAATGGGGGAAAGAAACACCCCAAAAAATGGGGGGGAAACAGCCCAAAAATGGGGGCAAAGCACCCCAAAAATGGGGGCATCGAAATCACCCCAAAATGGGGAAACAGCCCAAAATGGGGAAACACCCCAAAAATGGGGAAAACACCCCAAAATGGGGGCTGGAGCTGCCCGTGAGGCCTCCTCGGGGCATCATCCCGAGCAGTCAGGGGCTGCTCAACATGGTGAGTGCCAAAATTGGGGGAAAACACCCCAAAAATGGGGGAGAAACACCCCAAAAATGGGGGGGGAAACACCCTAAAAATGGGGGGGGAAACACCCCAAAAATGGGGGAAAAACACCCCTAAAAATGGGGGAAAAACACCCCAAAAATGGGGGAAACACCCCAAAATGGGGAAAAACACCCCAAAAATGGGGAAAACAACCCAGAAATGGGGGCTGAGCTGCCTGCGAGCTCCCCCCGGGCATCATCGAGCAGTCAGGGGGGCTGCTCAACATGGTGAGTGCCAAAATTGGGGGAAAACACCCCAAAAATGGGGGAAAAACACCCCAAAAATGGGGGAAAAACACCCCAAAAATGGGGGCTGAGCGTTCATGGGCTCCCCCCGGGCATCATCGAGCAATCTGGGGGGCTGCTCAACATGGTGAGTGCCAAAAATGGGGGAAAACACCCCAAAAATGGGGGAAAAACACCCCAAAAATGGGGGGGACACCCCAAAAGTAACTGTGGGTGCAACAAAGAGGGGTCTGGGGGCACGGAGCTGATTTTGGGTGCAATAAAGAGGATTTTGGGGACACTGAGGGGACTCTGGGTGGGGTGACAGTGGGGTGACAGGGATGGCTCTGGGGACACTGAGGGTGGCTCTGGGGACACTGAGGGTGGCTCTGGGGACACTGGGGTGACAGTGGGGGTGACAGGGCTGGCTCTGGGGACACTGGGGTGACAGTGGGGGTGACAGGGCTGGCTCTGGGGACACTGGGGTGACAGTGGGTGCTCTGACAGGGATGGCTCTGGGGACACTGAGGGTGACACTGGGGACACTGAGGGTGGCTCTGGGGACACTGGGGGTGGCTCTGGGGACACTGGGGTGACAGTGGGAGTGACAGGGATGGCTCTGGGGACACTGAGGGTGGCTCTGGGGACACTGAGGGGACAGTGGGGGTGACAGGGATGGCTCTGGGGACACTGAAGGTGGCTCTGGGGACACTGGGGTGACAGTGGGGGTGACAGGGATGGCTCTGGGGACACTGAGGGTGGCTCTGGGGACACTGGGGTGACAGTGGGGGTGACAGGGATGGCTCTGGGGACACTGAGGGTGGCTCTGGGGACACTGGGGTGACCCTGGGGTGACAGGGATGGCTCTGGGGACACTGGGGTGGCTCTGGGGACACTGAGGGGACCCTGGGGTGACAGTGGGGTGACCCTGGGGTGACAGAGCTGGCTCTGGGGACCCTGGGGTGACAGTGGGGTGACAGGGCTGGCGGTGGGTGCTGACAGGGATGGCTCTGGGGACCTTGGGGTGACAGTGGGGGTGACAGGGATGGCCATGGGGACACTGAGGGGACAGTGGGGTGACGGGGATGGCTGTGGGGACACTGAGGGGGACCCCAGGGTGACAGTGGGGGTGACAGGGATGGCTCTGGGGACACTGAGGGGACTCTGGGGACACTGAGGGTGACAGTGGGGGTGACAGGGATGGCTCTGGGGACACTGGGGGTGACAGTGGGGTGACAGGGATGGCTCTGGGGACCCTGGGGTGACACTGGGTGCTCTGAGGGTGGCTCTGGGGGACACTGGGGTGACAGTGGGAGTGACAGGGATGGCCTCTGGGGACCCTGGGTGACAGTGGGTGACAGGGATGGCTCTGGGGACACTGGGGGCACACTGTGCTCTGAGGGTGGCTCTGGGGACACTGGGGTGACAGTGGTGTGACAGGGCTGGCTCTGGGGACACTGAGGTGACAGTGGGTGCTCTGAGGTGGCTCTGGAGACCCTTAAGACAGTGGGTGTGACAGGGCTGACTCTGGGGACACTGGGGTGACAGTGGGGTGACAGGGATGGCTCTGGGGACACTGGGGTGACAGTGGGGTGACCCTGGGGTGACAGGGCTGGCAGTGGGGTCTGACAGGACCGTGTCCCCCCCCAGGAGCTGGAGCACCCGATGGCGTCGCAGTTCGGGCGGCTCCCCGTGACCATCGAGGTGCCCATGGGCGCCCTGAGCCCGGGGGCTGCTGGACCTGGGGGCCCTCACCACCATCGACCAGTCCGAGCTCAGCTCCCAGCTGGGCCTCAGCCTGGGCGGCCCCGCCCCGGCCACGCCCGCCCCGGCCACGCCCGCCCAGGCCACGCCCGGCGCCGACCCTGAGCCCGCCCTGTCCCCGGGACCCTCCCCCCACGCTGCTGCCTCCCCACAGGACGACGAGGGAGACGAGTTCCGCAGGGTGAGACTCCTGAATCGACCAGATTACCCTGAAATCGGCCCCAGTTACCCCAAAATCAATCCCAGTTACCACAAAATCAACCGAAATTACCCCAAATTACCCCCAAATTGACTCAAATTACCCCAAAAACACCCCCAGTTACTCCAAAATCGCCCCAAATTACCCCCAAATTACTCCAAAATCGCCCCAAATTACCCCTAAATCACCCCAAATTACCCCAAAATCAACCCAAATTACCCCAGAATCAACCCAAATTACCCTCAAATCGGCCCCAATTACCCCAAAACAACCCAAATTACCCCCAAATCAACCCCAAATTACGGCCGCCCCGTCGCCGTCCCCGCCCCCATAATTAACATGCTTAATTAATCACTTGTCCCCCACAGCCCCCCATAATTAATGTGGTTAATTAATCATTTATTTCTTACAGCCCCCCGCGGCCGCCGCCTCATCGCCGTCCCCGCCCCTGCCGGCCCTCCCCAGCGGCGCGCGGCGGGCCGCCTCCCCGCGGAGCCGGCGCGGCGCCCCAAGCCCCCCAAGAAGGCGAAGAAGAAGAAGGACCCCAACGAGCCGCAGAAGCCGGTGTCGGCCTACGCCCTCTTCTTCAGGGACACCCAGGCCGCCATCAAGGGCCAGGAACCCCAACGCCACCTTCGGGGAGGTCTCCAAGATCGTCGCCTCCATGTGGGACTCGCTGGGGAGGAGCAGAAGCAGGTGGGGATGATGGGGGAGAATTTGGGGAGGGGTCTCAAGATCGTCGCCTCCATGTGGGACTCGCTGGGGAGGAGCAGAAGCAGGTGGGGATGATGATGGGGAATTTGGGGAGGGTCTCCCAAGATCGTCGCCTCCATGTGGGACTCGCTGGGGAGGAGCAGAAGCAGGTGGGGATGATGGGGGGAAATTTGGGAGGGGTCTCCAAGATCGTCTGCCTCCATGTGGGACTCGCTGGGGAGGAGCAGAAGCAGGTGGGGATGATGGGAGGGGAAATTTGGGGAGGGGTCTCAAGATCGTCGCCTCCATGTGGGACTCGCTGGGGGAGGAGCAGAAGCAGGTGGGGATGATGATGGGGAAATTTGGGGAGGGGTCTCCAAGATCGTCGCCTCCATGTGGGACTCGCTGGGGAGGAGCAGAAGCAGGTGGGGATGATGGGAGGAAATTTGGGGAGGGTCTCCAAGATCGTCGCCTCCATGTGGGACTCGCTGGGGAGGAGCAGAAGCAGGTGGGGATGATGGGGGAAATTTGGGGAGGGTCTCAAGATCGTCGCCTCCATGTGGGACTCGCTGGGGAGGAGCAGAAGCAGGTGGGGATGATGGGAGGAGATTTGGGGAGGGGTCTCCAAGATCGTCGCCTCCATGTGGGACTCGCTGGGGGAGGAGCAGAAGCAGGTGGGGATGATGGGGGGGGAAATTTGGGGAGGGGTCTCCAAGATCGTCGCCTCCATGTGGGACTCGCTGGGGAGGAGCAGAAGCAGGTGGGGATGATGGGGGGGGAAATTTGGGGAGGGGTCTCCAAGATCGTCGCCTCCATGTGGGACTCGCTGGGGAGGAGCAGAAGCAGGTGGGGATGATGGGGAAATTTGGGGAGGGGTCTCCAAGATCGTCGCCTCCATGTGGGACTCGCTGGGGGAGGAGCAGAAGCAGGTGGGGATAACGGGGGGGAGGGGAAGGGAGGGGAAATTTGGGGAGGGGTGAGGGTGGAGATGGTCAAGGTTGAAGGTTGAGGTTGAGAAGATCGAGGTTAAGAAAGTCAAGGTTGAGGTTGAGACATCAAAGTTGGGGAAGGTCAAGGTTGGAGAAGATCAAGGTTTGGGGAAGGTCAAGGTTGGAGAAGATCAAGATTGAAGGCTGAGGTGGAGAAGTCGAGGTTGAGGTCAAGGTAAAGAAGGTCAAGGTTGAAGGCCAAAGGATGAAGAAGGTCAAGGTTGAAGGTCAAGGTTGGAGAAGGTGAAGGTTGAAGGTGAAGGTTGAGAAGATCAAGATTGAAGGTTGAGGTGGAGAAGGTCAAGGTTGAAGGTCAAAGGTTGGAGAAGATCAAGATTGAAGGTTGAGGTGGAGAAGATCAAGGTTGAAGGTCAAGGTTGTTGAAGGTCAAGGTTGAGAAGATCAAGGTTGAGAAGTTTGAAGTGGAGAAGATCAAGGTTGAGAAGATCAAATGTTGGAGAAGGTCAAGGTTGAGGAAGGTTAAGGTTGAGAAAGTCAAAGGTTAAGAAGGGTCAACATTGTGAGTCAAGAAGGGAAGAGAGTGGAGACCCCAAAACCCACCAGGGATTAAAGACCCAGGGAGCAGGAACCTCAACTTTGGGGAAAACCCCCAAATTAGGGGGAAAAATTAATTAATTGGGGTGGAAACCCCCAAATTGGGGGGGGGGAAATTAATTAATTCGGGTGGAAACCCCCAAATTTGGGGGGGAAAATTAATTAATTGGGGTGGAAACCCCCAAATTGGGGGGGGGAAATAAATTAATTTGGGGGGGGAAAAATGAATTAATTCGGGTGGAAATCCCCAAATTTGGGGGGGAAAAATGAATTAATTGGGGTGGAAACCCCCAAATTTGAGCGTAAAATTAATTAATTCAGGTGGAAACCCTCAAATTGGGAGGATAAATTAATTAATTGGGGTGGAAACCCCCAAATTGGGGGGGGAAAAATTAATTAATTGGGGTGGAAACCCCCAAATTTGGGGGGGAAAATTAATTAATTGGGGTTGAAACCCCCAAATTTGGGGGGAAAAATTAATTAATTGGGGTGCAAACCCCCAAATTGGGGGGGGGGAAATTAATTAATTGGGGTGGAAACCCCCAAATTTGGGGGAAAATTAATTAATTGGGGTGGAAACCCCCAAATTGGGGGTTTTGGGGCCGGAGCTCGAGCGACGCCGACGGGCACGGACACCCCAAAACCGGAGCTGGGGGGGTCCCAAATCCCCCCCCCCGGACCTCAGACCCCTCCAAAACCTCGTGGGTGACCCCCCTGGTTCCGGAACTTTCCCAAAATCCCTGTTTTTATCCCCAAACCCGCAGGTTTACAAGCGCAAGACGGAGGCGGCCAAGAAGGAATATCTGAAGGCGCTGACGGCCTATCGGGCCACCCTGGTACCCAAACACCCCCCAAAATCAGAGGGGGCCTAAAATGTTGGGGGTCCTAAAATCATTGGGAGGGTCTTAAAATTATCAGGGGGTCTAAAATCATGAGGGCTCTTAAAATTCCTAAAATCTTGGGGGGTCCTAAAATCATGAAGGGATCCTAAATTATGGGGGAGTGGCTGAGTTATGGGGGGTCCCTAAAATCATGGGGGTCTAAAATCATGGGGGGTTCTAAAATTATGGTAGAGGTCCTAAAATAATTGGGGGTCCTAAAATTCCTAAAATCATGGGGGTGTCCTAAAATCATGAGGGATCCTAAATTATGGGGTTGGCTGAGTTATGGGGGGTCTTAAAATCATGGGGGCTTGTAAAATTATGGGGGTCCTAAATTATGGGGGGTCTTAAAATCATGGAGGGTCTTAAAATGATGGGGAGGGGTCTAAAATTATGGGAGTCCTAAAATTATGGGGGTCCTAAAATCATGGGAGGGGTCTAAAATCATGAGGAGGTTCTTAAATTATGGGGGTGGTCTAAAATTATGGGGGGCCTAAAATTATGGGGGTCTTAAAATCATGGGGGTCCTAAAATCATGGGGAGGGTCTTAAGTTGGGGAGGTTTCCTATATTAAGGGGGTCCTAAAATCTTAAAGGGGGTCCTAAAATCATAGGGGGTCCTAAATTATGGGAGGTTCCTAAAATCAAAGGGGAGTCTAAAATCATGGGGGGTTAAAATTATGGGGAGGGGTCTAAATTGGGGAGGGGCCTAAAATTGGGGGAGGGGCCTAAATCGGGGAGGGCTTAAAATCAGGGGAGGGGCCTAAATCACAGGGGAGGGTCTAAATCACAGGGGAGGGCCTAAAATTGGGAGGAGGGGCCTAAAATTGTGGGGAGGGGCTTAAAATTGGGGGAGGGGCCTAAAATTGTGGGGAGGGGCTTAAAATTGGGGGAGGGGTCTAATTGATGGGGAGTGGTCTAAAATCGGGGAGGGGTCTAAAATTGGGGGAGGGCCTAAATCATGGGGAGGGGCCTAAAATTATGGGGAGGGGCCTAAATCATAGGGAGGGGCCTAAAATCAGGGGAGGGGCCTAAAATTGGGGGAGTGGCCTAAAATTGAGGGGAGGGGCCTAAATCACAGGAGGGGCCTAAAATTGGGGGAGGGGCTTAAAATTGGGGGAGGGGCCTAATTGGTTGGGAGGGGTCTAAAATCATGGGGAGGGTCCTAAAATCCTTGGGAAGGTCCCAAATTCTGGGGAGGGGCTGCCCAAAGTGGACGTGGCCTCTGTTTTTGGGGTTAATTCTCTTGCTTTTTTTTTTTTGTGCTGCTTTTCAGACGTCGTCGGAGCCCCCGAGCCGGAGCCCAGCCCCACTCCCCTCCCCCAACAACCCCCACCCTCCTCCTCATCATCATCATCATCACCACCCCCTCCCACGAGCTCTGCCACCCTCCTCCTCCTCCCCACCCCAACCCCCACCCCCACCCCCATCACCAAAATCCTCATCCCCAAAACCCTGCTGCCCCCGCCGCGGTGGGGAGGGGCGACTCCCGGGGTGGGGGGTGGGGGTGGGGGTGGGGAGGGGTGGTGGCCGTCATCCCAGCGGCTGTGGTTGCCCCGGGGTTCTGATGGTCCTAACGTGACCCCGGCCCGGGCGGTCCTGGCAGCGACCACCACGGCCCCCTGCCCCGCCTGCAGCCCCCTGCAGCAGATGCCCTCCCCGCCCCTCCCCCAGCTGGCCGTGCTGAGGCCCCCCGCCCCCTGCAGGCCATGCAGGCCCCCTAGCTGCGGCCCCCAGAACCCCCCGCTGCAGATCAAGATCCTGCCCCCTGCAGATCCAGTCCCTGCACCTCGCCCCCTGTGCCCACCCCCACCCCCTGTGCCCACCCCCACCCCCTGTGCCCACCCCCACCCCCCTGTGCCCACCCCACCCCACCCCCCAGCCGGGCAGCCCCGCCCCTCAGAGCGACCCCCCACCCCAGAACCACGAGGGGACGTGGAGATGGGGGACGTCGTGCCCGAGGTGAGGGGGCAGCGAGGAGGGTTTGGGGGTTTGGGGGATTTGGGGGACATTGAGGGGTTTGGGGGTTCAAAGGGGGACATTTCAGCCCAAAAAATCAGAATTCCTCTCAAATTCAACCTTTTCCAACTCCAAAACTGGGAATTCTGGGCTCCATTCCAGCCCCAAAAATCAGAATTCCCGCCAATTCCAGCCCCAAAACTCGGAATCCCTGTCAATTCCAACCCCAAAAATCAGAATCCCCATCAATTCCATCCCCAAAAATCGGAATGCCCGTCAATTCCAACACCAAAAATCAGAATTCCCCATCAATTCTAGCCCCAAGAATCAGAATTCCCATCAATTTCAACTGTTTTCAACCCCAAAATTTGTAATTCCAGGCTCCATTTCAGCCCCCAAAATTGGAACCTCTGTCAATTTCAACCCCAAAAATCAGAATTCCCGTCAATTCCATCCCCAAAAATCGAAATTTCTTCCAATTCCATCCCCAAAAATCAGAATTCCCGCCAATTTCAGCCCCAAAAATCAGAATTTCCGTCAATTCCGGCCCAAAAAATTGGAATTCCCTGTCAATTCCATGCCCAAAAATCAACATTTCCATCAATTCCATCCCCAAAAATGAACATTTTTGTCAACTTTATCCCTCTCCAACCTCGAAATTCATGATTTCTGCTGCCAGGTGGAGTCCCCCCCCGGTGTGGAGGTGCTGGGGGGGTCCCCGGGGCGTGCGGGGTCCCCCCGGTGCCGCTGCGTCCGCGCCGGCTGCGCCAACGCCCCCGTGCCCAGCCCCGACTGGGACCTCGAGTTCTGCAGCAGCGACTGCGTCGTCAGGCACTGCCGGTGGGTGACTACCCCAAATTCCCCTTTTGGGGGGGTTTTTGGGGTTTTGGGGCTTTTTGGGGTTTTTTGGGGTGTTTTGGGTTTTTTTAGAGTGTTTTTGGGGTGTCTTTTGGGGTGTTTTTGGGGGGTTTTTAGGGTGTTCTTAGGGTGTTTTTAGGGTGGTTTTTGGGGGTCTTTTTGGGGTGTTTTTTGGGGGGCTTTTTGGGGTGTTTTTTGGTTGTGTTTAGGGTGTTTTTTGGGGTGTCTTTGGGCTGGTTTTGGGGGTTTTTCTGGGGTCCTTTTGGGGTGTTTTGAGATCTTTTTGGGGTCTTTCTATTGGGGTTTTTTGGGGTCTTTCTTTGGGGTTTTTTTGGGGTCTTTTTTTGGGGTCTTTTTGGGGTCTTTTTGGGGTCTTTTTTTGTGTTTTCTGGGGGGCTTTTGGGGTGTTTTTTGGGTTCTTTTTGGGGCTTTTGGGGGGCTTTCTTTTGGGGTCTTTGGGGTGTTTTCTGGGGTGTTTTTAGGGTGTTTTTTGGGGTGTTTTTGGGGTGGTCGTCAGGCACTGCCGGTGGGTGCCTGTCCCAAATCACTGCTTTTTGGGGGGGCTTTTTGGGGGGTTTTTGGGGTGTTTTTAAGGTGGTTTTTGGGGTTTTTTTGGGGTGTTTTTAGGGTGGTTTTAGGGTGGTTTTAGGGTGTTTTTGGGGTGTTCGTCAGGCACTGCCGGTGGGTGGCTGATCCAAATTCCCCTTTTTTGGGGGGTTTGGGGTGTTTTTGGGGTCTTTCTGGGGTCTTTCTATTGGGTTTTTTTGGGGTCTTTCTGGGGTCTTTCTATTGGGTTTTTTTGGGGTCTTTTTTGGGGTCCTTTTGAGGTCTTTTGGGGTCTTTTGGGGATTTTGGGGTTTTTAGGGTGTTTTTAGGTTGTTTTTGGGGTGTTTTTTGGGGTCCTTTGGGGGTCTTTTTAAGGTCCTTTTGGGGTCTTTTTCGGGGTGCTTTTGGGGTTGTTTTGAGATCTTTTTGGGGTCTTTCTTTGGGGTTTTTTTGGGGTCTTTTTTTGGGGTCTTTCTGGGGTCTTTCTTTGAGGTCTTTTTGGGGTCTTTTTTGGGGTTTTTTGGGGTTTTTTTGGGGGTGTTTTAAGGGTGTTTTTAGGGGGTTTTTTGGGGTTTTTTTAGGGGTCCTTTTGGGGGTTTTTTTGGGGTATTTTTTGGGGTCTTTTTGGGGTTTTTCCTTTTGGGGGCTTTTGGGGGTCTTTTTAAGGTCCTTTTGGGGTCTTTTTGGGGGTCCTTTTGGGGTCTTTTGGGGGCTTTTTGGGGTCTTTCTTTTGGGGGTTTTTTGGGGTTTTTCTGGGGTTCTTTTGGGGTCTTTTGGGGGCTTTTTGGGGTCTTTCTTTTGGGGGTTTTTTGGGGTTTTTCTGGGGTCTTTTTGGGGGCTTTTTGGGGTCTTTCTTTTGGGGGTCTTTCTTTTTGGGGTCCTTTTGGGGGTTTTGGGGTCTTTTTGGGGTGGTTTTAGGGTGTTTTTAGGGTGTTTTTGGGGTGTTTTTTGCTGGTGTTTTTGGGGGGTTTTTTTGGGGGCTTTTTGGGGTGTTTTTAGGGTGTTTTTTGGGGTGTTTTTGGGGTGTTTTTAGGGTGTTTTTTGGGGTTTTTTGGGGTCTTTTTGGGGGTGTTTTTGGGGTGTTCGTCAGGCACTGCCGGTGGGTGACTACCCCAAATCCCCCTTTTTGGGGGGCTTTTTGGGGTTTTGGGGGGGTTTTGGGGTGGTTTTAGGTGTTTTTAGGGTGTTTTTGGGGTCTTTTGGGGGTCTTTTGGGGTGTTTTTGGGGTGTTCGTCAGGCACTGCCGATGAATTATTCCAAACCCCTTTTGGGGGCTTTGGGGGTTTGGGGGTTTGGGGGTTTTTGGGTTTTTTTGGGGTGGTTTTGGGGTTTTCTGAGGTTCTTTTGGGACTTTTTTGAGGTGTTTTTTGGGGTGTTTTGGGGGTTTAATGGGGTCCTTTAAGGGTTCTTTTGGGGTCTGTTGGGGATTTTGGGGGTTTTTTTGGGGTTTTTTGGGGGTTTTTTGGGGTGTTTTGGGGCTTTTTTGGGGTGTTTTTAGGGTGGTTTTGGGGGGGTTTTGGGGTGGTTTTAGGGTGTTTTTAAGGGTCTTTTTGGGGTGTTTTTGGGGTGTTCGTCAGGCACTGCCGGTGGGTGGCTGTCACAAATTCCCCTTTTTGGGGGGTTTTTGGGGTGTTTTGGGGGTTTTTTGGGGTGTTTTTAGGGTGTTTTTTGGGGGGTTTTCTGGGGTCCTGTTGAGGTCTTTGGGGGGGGTTTTGGATCTTTTTGGGGTCTTTTTAAGGTCCTTTTAGGGTCCCTTTAGGGGCTTTTTGGTGTTCTTTTTGGGGTCTTTTTGGGGTCTTTCTTTTGGGGGTTTTTTGGGATTTTTCTGGCATCTTTTTGGGGTTTTTCTATTGGAGTTTTTTGGGGGGTTTTTTGGGGTGTTTTTACGGTGTTTTTAGGGTCTTTCTTGGGGTCTTTTTTGGGGTCTTTTTGGGGCTTTTGGGGGTTTTTTTGGGGTCTTTGGAGTGTTTTTTGGGGTGTTTTTAGGGTGTTTTTTGGGGTGTTTTTGGGGTGGTCGTCAGGCACTGCCGGTGGGTGCCTGTCACAAATCCCTGCTTTTGAGGGGTTTTTGGGGTGTTTTGGGGGTCTTTTTGGGGGTTTTGGGGCTTTTTGGGGTGTTTTTTGGGGTGTTTTTTGGGGGCTTTTGGGGGCTTTTTGGGGTGTTTTTGGGGTGCGTTGTCAGGCACTGCCGGTGGGTGGCTGATACAAATCACACTTTTTGGGGGGGTTTTGGGGGATTTTGGGGCTTTTTGGGGTTTTTTGGGGTGTTTTTTGGGGGCTTTTGGGGGCTTTTTGGGGTGTTTTTGGGGTGCGTCGTCAGGCACTGCCGGTGGGTGACTACCCCAAATTCCCCTTTTTGGGGGTTTTTTGGGGTGTTTTTGGGGTTTTTTTGGGGTTTTGGGGGGTTTTTTTGGGGTGTTCTTAGGGTGGTTTTAGGTTGTGTTTAGGGTGTTTTTTAGGGGTTCTTTTGGGGTCTTTTGGGGGCTCTTTTGGGGGTCCCTTTGAGGTCTTTTTGGGGTCTTTTTTGGGGTCCTTTTGAGGTCTTTTGGGGATTTTGGGGTTTTTAGGGTGTTTTTAGGTTGGTTTTGGGGTGTTTTTTGGGGTCCTTTGGGGGTCTTTTTAAGGTCCTTTTGGGGTCTTTTTCGGGGTGCTTTTGGGGTTGTTTTGAGATCTTTTTAGGGTCTTTCTATTGGGGTTTTTTGGGGTCTTTCTTTGGGGTTTTTTTGGGGTCTTTTTTTGGGGTCTTTTTGGGGTGTTTTTTGGGGTCTTTTTGGGGTGTTTTTAGGGTTTTTTGGGGGGTTTTTAGGGTGTTTTTGGGGTGTTTTGGGGCTTTTTTAGAGTGTTTTTAGGGTAGTTTTGGGGTGTTTTTAAGGGTCTTTTTGGGGTGTTTTTGGGGTGGTCGTCAGGCACTGCCGGTGGGTGGCTGATCCAAATCTCTGCTTTTTGGGGGGGTTTTGGGGTTTTTTGGGGTGTTTTGGGGGTTTTTAGGGTGGTTTTAGGGTGTTTTTAGGTTGTGTTTAGAGTGTTTTTTGGGGGCTTTTTGGGGTGTTTTTAGGGTGTTTTTTGGGGTGTTTTTAGGTTGTTTATTGGGGTCTTTTTGGGGTTCTTTTGGGGGCTTTTTTGGGGGCTTTTGGGGTGTTTTTAGGGTGTTTTTTGGGGTGTTTTTTGGGGTTTTTTTAGGGTTTTTGGGGGGTTTTTTTGGGGGTGTTTTTAGGGTGTTTTTTGAGGTCTTTTGGGGGTGTTTTTAGGGTGTTTTTTGGGGTTTTTTTGGGGTCCTTTGGGGTTGTTTGGGGTATTTTTGGGGTCTTTTGGGGTTTTTCTTTTGGGGCCTTTTGGGGGTCTTTTAAGGTCCTTTTGGGGTCTTTTTGGGGTCCTTTGGGGTTGTTTGGGGGCTTTTTGGGGTCTTTCTTTGGGGGTTTTTGGGGTTTTTCTGGGGTTCTTTTGGGGTCTTTTGGGGGCTTTTTGGGGTCTTTCTTTTGGGGGTCTTTCTTTTTGGGGTCCTTTTGGGGGTCTTTTGGGGTCTTTTTGGGGTGGTTTTAGGGTGTTTTTTGGGGTGTTTTTGGGGTGTTCGTCAGGCACTGCTGGTGGGTGCCTGTCCCAAATCCCCCTTTTTTGGGGGCTTTTTGGGGTTTTGGGGGGTCTTTTTTGGGTTTTTTTAAGGTGTTTTTTGGGGTGTTTTTGTGGTGTTTTTAGGGTGTTTTTTTGGGGTCTTTTTGGGTTGTTTTCAGGGTGGTTTTAGGGTGTTTTTGGGGGCTTTTTGGGGGCTTTCTTTTGGGGTCTTTTTAAGGTCCTCTTGGGGGCTTTTTGGGGGTTCTTTTGGGGTTGTTTTGGGGGCTTTTTGGGGTGTTTTTGGGGGCTTTTTGGGGGTCCTTTTGGGGGCTTTTTGGGGTCTTTCTTTTGGGGTTTTTTTGGGGGGGTTTTTGGGGTCCTTTTGGGGGTCTTTTGGGGGCTTTTTGGGGTGTTTGTCTATCCCAAATCTCGCTTTTTGGGGTCTTTTGGGTTCTTTTTGGGGTGTTTCTGGGGTCCTTTTAGGGGTCTTCTGGGGGCTTTTTTGGGGTATTTGTAGAGTCCTTTTTGGGGTTCTTTTGGGGGTCTTTTTGGGGTCATTTGGGGTGTTTTTGGGGTGTTTGTCGGGCACTGACGATGCCTTTTCCCCCAAATCACCCTCCTGACCCCACCCCCGGCCCCTTTCCCGCTCCCAATTCCCAATTTTTGGGGTTGTTTCTCGGGGTGTTTCCTTTTAGGGACGTCTTCCTGGCCTGGCTCGCCGCCCGCAACGCCGGCAACAGCGTCGTCTTCGTCAAGTGACCCCCGGCACTGCTGGGGGTTTAGGGGGTCCCCTGAAGGATTTTGGGGTCCCCCCCAGCAGATTTCGGGGTCCCCCAAAGGATTTTGGGGTTCCCCTTAGCAGATTTCAAGGTCCCCTAAAAAATTTCAGGGTCCCCCCCAGCAGATTTTGGGGTCCCCCAAAGAATTTCGGGGTCCCCCCCAGCAAATTTCAGGGTCCCCCAAAGGATTTCGGGGTTTCCCTTAGCAGATTTTGGGGTCCCCCAAAGGATTTCGGAGTCCCCCAAAGGATTTAGGGGTTCCCCAAAGGATTTCAGGGTCCCTCAAATGATTTTGGGGTCCCCCCCTGGCAGATTTTGGGGTCTCACAGTGGATTTCGGGGTCCCCCAAAGAATTTTGGGGTCCTCCCCAGCAGATTTTGGGGTCCCCCAAAGAATTTTGGGGTCCCCCCCAGCAAATTTCAGGGTCCCCCAAAGGATTTCAGGGTCCCCCCCAGCAGATTTCGGGGTCCCCCAAAGGATTTTGGGGTCGCCCCCCGGCAAATTTTGGGGTCTCACAGCAGATTTCGAGGTCCCCCAAATGATTTTGGGGTCCCCTCCAGTAGATTTTGGGGTCCCCCAAATGATTTCAGGGTTCCCCCCAGCGGATTTCGGGGTCCCCCAAATGATTTCGGGGTCCCCCCCAAAGGATTTTGGGGTCTCACAGCAGATTTCGGGGTTCCCCAAATGATTTTGGGGTCCCCCTTAGCGGATTTTGGGGTCTCACAGCGGATTTTGGGGTCCCCCAAAGGATTTTGGGGTCTCACAGCGGATTTGGGGGGTGGGATTTTGGGGGTGGTTCTTGGTGGGGGGGTTTTTTTGGGGGGTTCTCTGTGCTCGTTTTGGGGTTGGAATTAAAGGGGTCGATCGGTGCAGACTTTTTTTTTATTTAATTAAAAAGGGGCGTTTTTGGGGTCGTTTCAGGGGTTTAGGGCGCGTTTTGGGGGGTTTGTGACACATTTTGGGGGTTTTATGACACATTTTAGGGGTTTTATGACACATTTTAGGGGTTTTATGACACATTTTGGGGGTTCCCCCTGAAAAAGGGTCAAGTGTTCTCTCCCCATCCTCCTGCTCCCCCCCAAAAAATCCCCTTTGAACCCCAAAAAAATCCCCTTTAAACCCTCATTAAAATCACTTTCCAACCTCAAAAAAAAATCTCCTTTAAACCTCAAAAAAATCCCCTTTAAAATCCCAAAAAATCTCTTCGAAACCCCAAAAAATTCCCTTTAAACGCTGCTTTTAAAATCACTTTGGAACCTCAAAAAAATTCCCTCTAAACCTAAAAAATTCCTTTTAAAATTCACCTTGAAACCCCCAAAAAATCCCCTTTAAACCCTCCTTTTAAAATCACTTTGGACCCTCAAAAAAATTGCCTCTAAACCTAAAAAATTCCTTTTAAAAACCCGCCTTGAAACCCCCCAAAAAATCCTCTTTAAACCCTCATTAAAATCACCTTCCAACCTCAAAAAAAAATTTCCTTTAAACCTCAAAAAAATTCCCTTTAAACCTAAAAAATTCCTTTTAAAATTCACCTTGAAACCCCCAAAAAACCCCCTTTAAACCCCCAAAAAAACCCCTTGAAACCCCCAAAAAACTCCTTTTAAACCCTCATTAAAGTCACCTTCCAACCTCAAAAAAAATTCACCTTGAAACCCTCAAAAAAATCCCCTTTAAACTCCCAAAAAACCCCTTAAAACCCCCAAAAAATCCCTTTTAAACTCCCAAAAAACCACCTTGAAACTCCCCAAAAAATCTCCTTTAAACCCCCAAAAAACCCCCTTGAAACCCCCAAAAAAACCCCTTTTAAATTCCCAAAAAAAAACCCCTTGAAACCCCCAAAAAAACCCCCTTTAAACCCCCAAAAACCCCCTTAAAACCCCCAAAAAATCCCTTTTATCCCCAAAAAATCCTTAAAAAAACCAATTTACCTTTTTTTTTCGGGATGCAACAAAACCCTTTTCCCTCCTCTCCCCCCCCCCAAACCCCAACACACCAGAATCCACCTCCTTTTTTCCGTTTATTCCATAAAAAAAAAAGAAAAGTGGGAATAATTCACATGTTTTTGGGCTTGGAGATGATGCCGTCGGGGTAGTGCTGCTTGAACTGCGCCACCACGTCGGGGTCCAGCAGGTGGATCCCGTCCAGCTGGTTCCCCAGCGTGATCCTGCAATAATCCCCCCAAAAATCACCCTGGAATTCCATCAGAAAGTGGGAATATTCTTAATTTTGGGGTGGGGAGGGGTTACCAGTTGGGCTGGACGTTGTGGGGGCGGCCGAAGAGCTCGATCTTGCGCGTGCCGGGCGAGAGCCGCTCGATCATCCCGTAGATCTCGTCGGGCTTGTGGCTCGTCGAGCGCACCTGCGGCGGGAAGTTTGGAGCGAGATTCCCTCGTTTCCCGACATTTTCTGAGGTGATTCCCTCATTTCCCACCATTTTCTGAGCTGATTCCCTCATTTCCTGAGGTGATTCCCTCATTTCCCATCATTTTCTGAAGTCATTCCCTCATTTCTTGAGGGAATTCCCTCATTTTCCGCCATTTTCTGAGTGGATTTCTTCATTTCCCGCCATTTCCTGAGGTGATTCCCTCATTTCCTGCCATTTTCTGAGGTGATTCCCTCAATTTTACACCTTTGTTTAAACTGATTCCCTCATTTCCCGCCATTTCCTGAGGGGATTCCCTCATTTCCCGCCATTTTCTGAGGTAATTCCCTCATTTCCCGCCATTTTCTGTGTGGATTTCTTCATTTCCCGCCATTTCCTGAGGTAATTTTCTCATTTCCCGCCATTTCCTGAGGTGATTCCCTCATTTCCCGCCATTTTCTGAGCTGATTCCCTCATTTCCTGAGAGGATTCCCTCATTTCCCGCCATTTTCTGAGGTCATTCCCTCAATTTCCCACCATTTTCTCAGTGGACTTCTTCATTTCCCGCCATTTCCTGAGGTCATTCCCTCATTTCCCATCATTTTCTGAGGTGATTCCCTGATTTCCTGAGGGAATTCCCTCATTTCCCGACGTCGTTGGAGCGGATTTTCTCATTTCCTGGGGTGATTCCCTCATTTCCCGCCATTTCCTGAGGTCATTCCCTCATTTCCCGCCATTTTCTGAGGTGATTCCCTCATTTCCCATCATTTTCTGAAGTCATTCCCTCATTTCTTGAGGGAATTCCCTCATTTTCCGCCATTTTCTGAGTGGATTTCTTCATTTCCCGCCATTTCCTGAGGTGATTCCCTCATTTCCTGCCATTTTCTGAGGTGATTCCCTCAATTTTACACCTTTGTTTAAACTGATTCCCTCATTTCCCGCCATTTCCTGAGGGGATTCCCTCATTTCCCGCCATTTTCTGAGGTAATTCCCTCATTTCCCGCCATTTTCTGTGTGGATTTCTTCATTTCCCGCCATTTCCTGAGGTAATTTTCTCATTTCCCGCCATTTCCTGAGGTGATTCCCTCATTTCCCGCCATTTTCTGAGCTGATTCCCTCATTTCCTGAGAGGATTCCCTCATTTCCCGCCATTTTCTGAGGTCATTCCCTCAATTTCCCACCATTTTCTCAGTGGACTTCTTCATTTCCCGCCATTTCCTGAGGTCATTCCCTCATTTCCCATCATTTTCTGAGGTGATTCCCTGATTTCCTGAGGGAATTCCCTCATTTCCCGACGTCGTTGGAGCGGATTTTCTCATTTCCTGGGGTGATTCCCTCATTTCCCGCCATTTCCTGAGGTCATTCCCTCATTTCCCGCCATTTTCTGAGGTGATTCCCTCATTTCCCACCATTTTCTGAGGTAATTCCATCAATTTTATACCATTTTTTAAAGTGATTCTCTCATTTCCCATCATTTCCTGAGATGATTCCCTCATTTCCCGCCATTTTCTGAGGTAATTCCATCAATTTTGTACCATTTTTTAAAGTGATTCCTTCATTTCGCACTATTTTCTGAGGTAACTCCTCCATTTCCTAACATTTCCTGAGGTAATTCTCTCATTTCCCAACATTTCCTGAGGTGATTCCCTCATTTCCCGCCATTTTCTGAGGTGATTCCCTCGATTTTACACCATTTTTTAAAGTGTTTCCCTCATTTCCTGCCATTTCCTGAGGTGATTCCCTCGTTTCCCGCCATTTCCTGAGGTCATTCCCTCATTTCCCGCCATTTCCTGAGGTAATTCCCTTGTTTCCCGCCATTTCCCAAGGTGATTTCCTCATTTCCCGCCATTTCCTGAGGTGATTTCCTGATTTCCCACCATTTCCTGAGGTGATTCCCTTATTTCCCACCATTTTCTGAGGTAATTCCCTCATTTCCCGCCTTTTTCTGAGGTAATTCTCTCATTTCCCATCATTTTCTGAGGTAATTCCCTCAATTTTACACAATTTTTTGAGGTGATTCCCTCATTTCCCGCCATTTCCTGAGGGGATTCCCTCATTTCCCACCATTTTCTGATGAATTCCCTCAATTTTACATGTTTTTTTAGGTGATTCCCTCATTTCCCGCCATTTCCTGAGGGGATTCCCTCATTTCCCACCATTTTCTGATGAATTCCCTCAATTTTACATGTTTTTTTAGGTGATTCCCTCATTTCCCGCCATTTCCTGAGATGATTCCTCATTTCCCACCATTTTCTGATGAATTCCCTCAATTTTACATGTTTTTTTAGGTGATTCCCTCATTTCCCACCATTTTCTGATGAATTCCCTCAATTTTACATGTTTTTTTAGGTGATTCCCTCATTTCCCGCCATTTCCTGAGGTGATTCCCTCATTTCCCGACGTTTTTGGAGTGGATTTGCTCCTTTCCTGAGGGGATTCCCTCATTTCCCGTCATTTCCTGAGGTGATTCCCTCGTTTCCCGCCATTTCCTGGGATAATTCCCTCATTTTCCATCATTTCCTGGGATAATTCCCTCGTTTTTCCCTCACCTCGGCCACGATGACGTCGCAGTCCAGGCCCCGGTTGAAGCCTTGGGGGTTCCCCTTCACCCCCACCTGCGAGAAGAGCAAATTTGGGGGGGGGGTTGGGACCCCAAAAACCACCCCAGGACCCCCAGAATCCTCCAAAAAACCCCTTTATGGAATCCTGACACCCCAAAACCCACCCCAGGACCCCCCTGAACACCAAAAAAAACCCTTTATAGAATCCTGACACCTCAAAACCACTCCCAGGACTCCAGAACCCTCCAAAAACCTCCTTTATGGAATCCTGACACCCCAAAAACCACCCCAGGACCTCAAAAACCCCAAATACTCACTCCCAGGCCCCCCAAATACCCACTCCCAGGACCCCAAATCCCCCCCAGGACCCCAAATACCCACTCCAGGACTCCCCAAAACCCCTCTATGGGACCTTCACTCCCAAATACCACTCCCAAGACCCCAAATACCTTCCCCAAGACCCCAAATTCCCCCCAGGACCCCAAATACCCACTCCAGGACCCCAAATCCCCCTCTATGGTCCCTTACCCCCAAATACCACCCCAGGACCCCAGAAATCTCCCGACCCTAAATTCCTCAGGACCCCAAACCCCCTCTATGGGTCCCTTCACCCCTACAAACCCACCCCAGGACCCCAAAAATCCCCAGGACCCCCAAATCCCCCCTGCCCTCACCAGGCAGTGCTCCTTGCCGTGGTTGAGCCAGTGGCCCGTGCGGCCGGTGCGGATGATGCGCTGCAGCTGGTTGGTCTTCACCCAGATTATCTCGTCCACCCGCTCGTACCTGGGCATGGCAGAGCTTTTTTGGGGGGTTTTAGGGGTTTTTGGGGGGGTTTTGGGGTGGGGAAG